TCATTTTGTTATAATTCTTTGCCTTTAATTGTAATCTTTAGTAGTAACAAATGAATGAAGCTTTGGGAAAAAAAACAAATGCTGAGGTAAATGGTGAAAATGACGTCCTCACCTACTTCTTTCCCATCTCCTCACCTACCACGTCCCCAGGAATGGCCGCTGCCCATGTGCTGATGGATAACTTTTCAGAACTACTCTGTGTATGCACAAACTGAGATAGTTTTTATAATGATGTTAGATATTATTCTATATGTATTATTTGCTGCTTGCTCTTCTCATTCAAAAATGATTGCAGACATCTTTCCATGCACCCCTCCCTTTCTCTTTCTTCCTTATTTCCTTCCTTCCTTCCTTCCTTCCTTCCTTCCTTCCTTCCTTCCTTCCTTCCTTCCTTCCTTCCTTTCTTTCTTTCTTTCTTTCTTTCTTTCTTTCTTTCTTTCTTTCTTTCTTTCTTTCTTTCTTTCTCTCTTTCTTTCTTTCTTTCTTTCGTTGTTGTTAACATGGTTTGGATATAATGCAATTTATTTAACTCTCCCTTCTTATGTCTCTTTTAGTTGTATACAGCATTTTATAATTAAAAAAAAAAACCCTAACTAAAATATATTTGAGCTCTGGATGTGTTTCATGATGAACATTTCTAACCGGTTTTATTACTAAAAAGAAAATTTCAGGGACAAATGATACTTGCAATTAAGATAAAATCTTCAAATATTTTAATACTAACTTTCTAAGTAAATGTTGAGAAAGAATCTGTGAGAAAATTTTTAAGTCCACAAGGATTATTCCTGTGATTATTCACAGATAAAACTATGATAAAGATTTTTTTAAGAAAAGTGGGTAACAAAGATGTGTGTTTAATCATTAGAAACTGAAAAAATGAAATATGTAAACTGAAAAACAAACCCTTGTTATTCTAATTTTTTCATTCTCATAATCTACTTTGTTTTTATAAACCAATAATTTGTATAAATCTTTAAGATTTTAATGTAAATCTGAGAATATTTTTAAAATATAGTGGTTATATCCTTAAATACAATATCACAAGTTAAGAATATTATATTTGTATTTTGGAGGTTTATAGTAGTATAAACTATACTACTAATATGGTTTATATTACTATAAATCATATTTTAAAAGACTTATTTTAGATAATTCACAATATTTGTGTTAATGTTATCTGAAGAAAAACTATATTTAAGGTGTTACTAGATTTGCTTAAAATTTGCCCCAAAGATCAAATATTCTAGAAATGTGTAGTTAGGTTTCTATAGAAAGTAATTAGTTTATACTGCAGCTGCTATGATAGTTCGTATATTACATTCATTGAAGATCACAACCTTGCTGAAATGTAAACTGCATTTAAGATTTTTTTGGTCTTATTTATTTTTAATCACTCTCAACATCAACCACTGAGTGAAATCAAGGCATCAAACATTGGTTTCATATATGTTTTGGCGCAAGAACTGTAGAAATTGAGTATGATGAAAAGGTTTTAACTATTGTTTAAAGAGAGAAAGAAATTGTGTGGTTTATTTTTAAAGTGTGCACTCACTCACTCACAAAGTAGTAGGGTTGAAAGAAGAGAAAAAGGAGTAAAAGTTCATTGGAACCCAATGATTTATAGGGAAAGGCTCAGCGAGCTCACATAAAAACCAAATGGGGGAAGTGGTCGGACATTGGGTCAAATCTCCATTCACATGTTGTGTAATAAAAGGCTGACTGTAGCCTTTCAGCCTTGCTTCTAGTCATAGACAATGGCAATTGCAGAGCAAGACTAATAACAGGATTTAGCATAAATCCACCACAGGAAGTGAACAGTTGTACTGGCAAATAATTAGCCAGGAAACATTTTATAGCAGCATCAGGATGGGTCCGTGAGCTTTCAAACTCTCAATGCGTTTGTGATCATGAAAACATAATTAGTTCTCAGGGATTGTAATTTTTGTGTGTGTTTGTTGCAAGATGGCTCCTTTCCCCTCCTTTCTTTTCACAAGCAGGCCTTATTTTTCCCGTCCTAATTTAGCAGCCCCAGTGAGGGTTTTGAAGTCTCAAGGGAGGGGGTTAGAATGTTCTCTTTTTTCCCCCTGCTGATGCTTTTTTATTGCAAGGTGGATGGTGTTTATTTTGCACAGCTAACAAGTGAGTTCAAAGCAATACGTTGCTCTTGAACTCCTGCCAGATTCCCAAAGCTGAAAGCTCCCCTGCGTGGTAGAACCGACCTGTACTATCAAAGCCCGGCTAATTTGCAAAGGAATGTCAAAATGACTGGGGCACTGCATTTTCCACCACCCGCTTCATTTGACACTTAAAGGAAAGCTAAGTGGGAGTGTAAAAGGAAGGAAATTCATTCAAGGCAGCACACCCTATGATGTGAATTAATTCAGAAGAGAATGGGGGCTCGTCGCTGAGTACTTCCATTTTCATCTTCTGTGCTCTTTGTTTTAGTTACCATTTTAGCAAGGGTTGCTAATAAACATTATGCTTCTGTTCTCACATCATCCATATTAGGAGTAAATGCTGTCATTAGACTTGGCTTTGAAATTCTTTGTGTCAAAGTTTCTCCATGAAGCTGCCTCATCCGATTTAGTCACACCGAAGAGCGGCCTCAAGAAGACAAACTGTTCAGGACAATATTTTTCTCCATTCAGCACTCTAAGAAAAACATTTCCTTAGAACCAAGAGAGCAATATTTATGAACAAATGTAAATTGTATTTGCAGGACACAAGACTGATAAAACAAATTCATAAACTTTACATTTAAAGGTGTAATTCAAAGATGATGTTTGGAAGTTCAGTCCAGCTCATATAAGAAGTATTAATGCTAAAACAAAAGTTACAAGATCAAATAGGAGACTTCGATTTAATTTAGTCTGATTCTAATCTCTGCATCCTAATTGTATTTTATAATCTCAAAGTATATATAAGGCTTACATTGAAAATATGACATTGGCATATTCACCTGAGGAAGTTCAACTACAAATCATTTCTTTAGGCATGGACTCTAGAACTTCAGTACTATTTCTTATTATTTTCTCAATGTGTTTGTTATGATTTATATAAATTGCCAGTGCTATCACCTAAATCAAGAGGAATCTCACCTTCATAGATTGTCCCCCTTGCTTGAGTTTTGACCATGCATTTCTTTAATGTTACCCTCTACCTAACACTGAACTCCATATCTCAACATGCTGTGGACGATTAAAATGTACCTTATCTCTGCTATTAAAATATGAGGTAATCTGGGGACAAATCTTCTGGCAATGCCTCAGTTGCTTAAAAGCAGGTTACCAAGGTATGGGTCATGCTGTAGTGTCTAAAAAGTGGGTTAATGTCAAAATGAGCACCATGCTGCAGACAGATGAAGGCTAGAGTCAGATGGACCCAGGTTTGGATAATAACTGGAGGACTTACTAGTTCTGTGGCCACTACTAATTCATGAATCTTTCAAAGGCTTATCTTCCCCATATGTATAATGAGGCTAATATTACCACATGGGTTGTGGTTTATCACACTTAGCACTGTGGATGTCAAATTGTTGCGGCAACGTGTACAGCTAGCTTTACAGCTCTTGTTACAGCTCTTATTCATTTGACCGGGGAAAGAACCAAGCAGCACACGAAGAGTTGGAGAACAGCCTTTATTCTTCTACAGCAGGCTCAGCACACCTAGTGTTACAGCTCCCTTCATGTTTTCCGATGTTCTCCCCTTCTTGCCCCTTCTGCTCCTGCTTTTATACCTTTGGTAGGGCTCAAAAAGCATCCAATCAACTACAAGCTTTAGCATCCAATCAACAACAAGCTTTAACATCCAATCAACAACAAGCTATAACATCCAATCAAAAACAGTGGGATTCAAAAATTACCCAATCAGAATCATGCAAGCAGCGTGGCCGGAAACAGGCAGCAGCACGTGGGGTCCCAGCAGCACACAGGGGTCGGGGTGCCTCTTTGTGCCCTGGGGCCCGGCCCCAGCAGTGTGCCCTCCAACTGGCCACGGGCAGTGCTGGCCTGCAGAGATACAGATCTACATGGAGGCAGCAAGCGGCCACATCCCAGCACCCAACATTTTCCACATCAAAATAATAAACACTTAATAAATGTTAGCTATTACAAAATCAGAGCAGTTTGGAAGCAATACGTTGCAAGAATCAGGAATCACCTCATGTGGGTTTAAAATATAGGAAACACCATAGGAACAAGTATCTAGAGATAATGCAGGCTCTGAGACTGGCATGATCAAGTTTCCAGATTTGTCTTGCAATGCTCTTGGTTCTCTTCCCCGGGTTAGTTTTGTCTTCAGGCTAACTTCCCCAACGGTTGCAAAATAGCTGCCAGCAACAATTGGGATAACCCACTTCTTAATTCAAGTCCAGCAGAAGAGAAAGTAGAGGGAAGTGCTTCTTCAACCACAAGATAAAACTCCTTTCTGTAATATGACTGGGTACAACTTAAGCTCAGTGCTCATCATGTGAGGCAAGATGACAGTCACCAGAAAAATATTTTGCCCTGATTGTCTTAAGCCTGGTTTCCTGAGCTAGCTTCTAGCATGGCAGAAGAGTTTTCCATGATTGGTCTGTACCAGTGAGGATCTCACCCTAAACCTGAATATGAAGGTCATTTTCCCCTGAGTCACATGGGCCAGACACAGAACGGTGGATGCACAGACAAAGTTAGGGTTCTGTTAGGAAGGCTGAAAGGAATTGCGGAGTCTATTAGTCAGGGTTCCCAAAGGACAGAAATCATGCACTCAAACTGAGTAATTTCCTAATTTCTAATTACAAAGTTAAGGGCAGGGTGCTTCTTTTAGTTACAGGGCAGGGGAAGAAGTAGTTATCACAAACAAGGGAAAAAACCGATTGTGTGAATAAGATCACCTGATAGGAGTGTGACCTTTATCAAGAAACTCAGCCAGTCCCCCACCCCTCCTGAACAACTTTACAGGGGATATTTGCAAAGATTGCTGTGATTTCATGCTCCTTCCACTCCCTAATTTCTTGCCAGTTTCTCCTATTGGAATGCAACCAGAAGCCAGAATGCAAGAACAGAATGAAAGCCTATTGATGCAGTTCTTGGAGGTGAGCAACCTGGGCACAGAGCAAGACAGAGGGACAAAGGAAAGACATCCAGAACAAGAGCACAGCATGGGCTACTTCTGGGTAAGCAAGCAATAAAGTGCATAATTATTCTGTAAGACAGAACAAAAATAGAAAAGAAAGAGAGAGAAAACAAAGAATAGATGTATTAAGGAAGGGTAGAAACCTAAGAAGGGAGAGAAAAAGCTTCTTAGTAAACAGAAATAAGTTGGAAACACAAGACTTAAATGCGATGTAAAAGGATTGCACATTTTGCTAAGCAGAAGGGGATTAGTATTTTCAGAGGCTAGAGAAGGCAATCAAAGACAACCCTCAGGAAAGAAATGCATTAATTCATCTTACAAATATTTTTAAGTGCCTACTCTGAAAGGCAATATGAGGGGGAGAGTCCTTAAAAACTGGAATTTGGGGCTAGTTTTTCTGGTTTCACATAGTGAAGTTCCCACTTACTAGCAACCTCAGGGCAATTACTTCAACTCTCAGAGTCTCCACTTCCTCATCTGTCAAGCAGCGAGTTAATGATACCTTTCTGATCCGACTGTTTGAAAGTTAGATGATCCACAACAGGCAAAACACTTTGAACCACCTGGTACATACTCAACGTACAACAGATGTTAATTTTTCTTACTAACCTATACGGTTACTATGCTAAATGTTCTTTTAAATCTTACCATCACGAGAGTTCACTTTCAAGTTGAAAGATAGATATGAGGCCTATCAATAAACAAATAAACACAATAATATGTTATAGATGGCATGAAAAAAATTTGGCCATGTACAGTTGGGTCCAAGAGGAAGTGGTCAATGAACTTAGATTAGAGGCTAATCCAGAGGGTAGCCTTGGACTTGAGTCTTGAATGAACATTAGGTAATTTCTAGGCAAGTTGGGCCTTAGGGAAAAAACATTCCCAGCAGAGGACATTCCACGAACAAAGACATAAAGACTTGAAGCAAGGTAGGATATCAGGGCCAGGGCAACTGAGTACTGAAGTTGGGAGGAAGAGAGGAAGAAAGTGTTATAGAAGCTGTGACCGGAGGGAGGGTGGCTTATGAATCATGCTAAAGAGATTGCCCTTTGCCCCTCCCTTGTATCCTTAAAGCAATGGAAAGCCAGGAAAATTTTGAAGCAGGAGTGTGACTCTATCTTATTTATATGTAGAAAAATCTACTGTGGGTAGCTAATGTGAAAAGAATAGTGGGTACTCTTAGCCCATGGAGAGAGCACATATTAATGGTTGTTAAAATTTCAGGCAAGAGATGCTGGTAGTTTGGACTAGGATGCCGGTAAAAAGTACATGGATTCAAGCAATATTTTGGAGGTCAAAACCAATACTGTTAAAATGTTGTAGCACAACAAATTACATGTTTGTGTTAATGCTGGTGTAAAGAAACCTACTGCAACTGCTCCACTAGTTGTATGAAAGTATAGCATACACAATTATTTACTGTACATAATACTTGATAATAATTATGAATGGCTGTTATCATGTTATATGTTAATATTTTCTATACTATGCTTTTTATCATTATTTACTCCTTATATTAAAAAAAATTAACTGTGTAACAACCTCATGTAGACCCTTCAGAAGGTATTCCAGAAGAAGGCATTGTTATCATAGGAGATGACAGCTCCATGCCTGTTACTGCCCCTGAAGACCCTCAGTAGGACAAACTATGGAGGTGGAAGACAGTGATATTGATGATTCTGGCCCTGTGTAGGCCTAAGCTACTGTGTGTGCTTGTGTTTTAGTTTTTCACAAAAAAAGTTTAAAAGATAAAAAAAAAAGACTAGCCGGGCGCGGTGGCTCACGCCTGTAATCCTAGCACTCTGGGAGGCCGAGGCGGGCGGATTGCTCAAGGTCAGGAGTTCAAAACCAGCCTGAGCGAGACCCCGTCTCTACCATAAAAATAGAAAGAAATTAATTGGCCAACTAATATATATATATAAAAATCAGCCGGGCATGGTGGCTTGTGCCTGTAATCCCAGCTACTCGGGAGGCTGAGGCAGGAGGATCGCTTGAGCCCAGGAGTTTGAGGTTGCTGTGAGCTAGGCTGACGCCACGGCACTCACTCTAGCCTAGGCAAGAAAGCGAGACTCTGTCTCAAAAAAAAAAAAAAAAAAAAAAAGACTAATAAGTACTAAAAGAAGAAAAAAATTAAGAACATAAAGAAAATTCTTTTGTACAACTGTTCAACGTGTTTGTGTTTTAAGGCAAGTTATTACAAAAGAGTCAAAAAGGTAGAAAACATTGTATACTATGACATACAAACCTAGGTGGTGTAGACTACTACATACCTAGACTATATGGTATAACCTATTGTTCCTAGGCTACAAACTTGTACAGCACATTACTACACTGAACACTATAGGCAATTGTGACACAATGGTATTTGTGTATCTAAACAGAAAGAGTACAATCAAAATGCAGTATACAAGATAAAAAATGGTACACCTGTATAGGGCACTTACCATGAATGGAGCTTGCAGGGCTGGGAGTTGCTCTGGGTGAGCAGGTGAGGGAGTGGTGAGTGAATGTGAAGGCCGGGACATCAATGTACACTACTGTAGACTTTACAAACACTGGACACCCAGGCTACACTAAATTTATAGGCAGTACTTTTCTTTCTTCAATAATAAACTAACCTTAGCTTATTGTAACAGCTTTACTTTATAAACTTTTCAATTTTTTTTTTAAAAAATTGAATGTTTAAAAAAATTAATGTCTAAAAAAATTACTTGATGAGTAAAAGCAAGAGAGTGGCAGAGCCTTCTCGCTGGATCATGTCCTCCACTCCTGCGGTCAGCTGTCACATATCTGCTCATATCTTTCAGACTTACATCTTCAGGACAGACACGCATTATGCAGTGTCTACCTGTTATAAGCACCCAGATGTCCCATAAGCACTTCAAAGTCAATAGATTGGATTAAAACAAAAATTATAAACTTGCCCTCTAACTACATTTTTCAGCTACACTTTGCTGTTCAAAAGCTGGCATCTTCCCTAAGCCATCCATGAATCCTTTTAGTTACCTCTCTCCATCTACTTAATCGCCAAGTCTGATGGATTTTTTACCCTTGAAATATTTTTTTCAAACATGTCCTTGCCTTTTTCTCAACACTTTTCATGACGTCTGAGTCATTCATTTCCTTGAACACTACTCCTACTTTTAGTTCATCCAATTCATCAAAAAACATGCCAATTGTATCTCCTAAAGATTCATTTTAATTCCACCTTTGTTCAGGCCATCATCATGTCTCAGTTTTATTATTTGATTGCTTTGCGACCTATAACCAGCTCACTTCCTCAGACATTTTCATTTGATCTATTAAGGCACCTTTACCTGGCTTCTTTACTTCCCATTTTCTACCCCTTCCTCCAAGCAAGCCTTCGAAAACGCAAGTTTCGAAGTCACACCTGCCCAAGTCACACCTCTGCGTATAACCTTTCATTGTCTCTCTGTCACCAACAGGATGAAAGCTACAATCTTTAGCAAGACTGACAATAAATGTCTTCTAAAGCCTCCACCTCCTTCTCCCCACTGTAAATTCCCACCACTCCAGGTTTCACTAAGTAGTTTCTAATTCTATACACTAGAATAACCATAAATACAAGTTACCAAAATCAAGGCTATTTAGTCATTTCCTGTTCTTTTATGAGCAACCTGTGGTTCTTCAATACATCTAATTATTGAATTAGAATATATTACGACATTCTCCAAAGGGCTCACAATAGTCTAGTAGTCTCAGATAATGATAACTACAAATGTAGTTTTAGGGCTCTGTATTAAGATATTGAAACTTTAATAATATATCCACAATTGAACTACAGAACAATTACTATGGCTTAAACTGATCTGGTTCATTTTTAATCCTAGCAAATAATAAAAACAATACTAATGATGATGATGATAGCTACCACATACTGAAATCCAACAATGCCCTAGACAGTGATAAATGCTTCATCTGCATTAAGGTTGGGTATCTCTTATCCAAAATGCTGGGAACCATAAGTGTTTTAGATGTTGGATTTTTTCAGATTTTGGAAATTTGCATAAACATAATGTGATATCTTAGGGATGAGAAATTCATCTATGCTTCACATATACCTTATATGTATATCTTGAATGTAATTTTATACAGTATTTTAAAATAATTTTGTGCATGAAACAAAATTTTTACTGCATTTTGACAGTGACTCATCACGTGAGCTCAGGTGTGAAAAAGTCTTCTACTTGTGGCATCATGTCAGATTTTGAAGCATTTTGGGTTTCAGAATCCCTAATCAGATTAGAGATTCTCAGTCTGTATGTCAACATATTTCAAAGTGTGTGTCATTTTCCCCATTTTATAGAAAAATACACTGAGACTCAGGATCTTCCCCAAAACAGTAATGCCAAAGCAAGGCTTCAGTTCAAATCTCTGATTCCAAAGCTCATCTCCTGCCACTCCATAATATACTACTTACTAAAAATTTATTAAATATTTGAATAAATACATTAATTATAATTTTAAAAGCATATAAAATTATCTTTAATTCCATGCTTAAATTCATGCTTTATTTTTAGTTATTTTGTGTAAAACAGTTTGCCAAAGCTTATAACATTTACAGTAATGCTCAAAGGGTAGTAACACAATATATCTTTAACTTTGCAATTGACCATAGAAACTTTTACTTAAATTAATTGCATATCATAAAAACTATCTTTAGCATACCTGCACATCTACCTGTGCCAAGCCTCATATAAGCCTCAGACAATTAAAAGCTTCCTCAGAGAAGACTTTGTTAACTTCTCTCCCCACAAACGCAAGATTAGATATCCTTCTGTACAATATTGCAACACTTGGTCTTCCTACTTCATACCACCTTTAATAGTTGTAATTTAATAAGTTTTTTTTAATAATTATTTCTTCAGGAATATATTCCAAAGAGAGATGAAGAAGCTCGATGGAAGAGGGACCTGTTTGGTCTTCTTCCCATTGTCTCCTATCATCTAGGCCTGTGCTTGGCACTGTATATGTGCTTTGAATCTGTGGGATAAATAAATGCATGCATAAAAGCAGCAAGGAGTATACATATGTGAAAATACTTTTCATGTTAGGAATCATCCAATATGGATCACAGGAACTGAGAAATGGGAGCTATTGAGAGAGATAAAAATTCCATTTCAGAGAACCATGGATGCCATGCAGAGGAGTTATAAACACTAATTACCAGGAAGTACAATGAATAACACAGCGGATTGAGTCTTGTGATAGAAGACCATAGATGATCAATTTGATTCTGGTAAGTTCCTAGTTATATGAGCCTTTTTTTAATAGCTTGACTTAACAATTTGAAAATTGTTCTGATAATTACCACGTATTTCTTCACTTACCGGTTTCTAGATAAAAACCTTCACTGCACTTGCGCTCTCTCTTAGACACTATTTACATGGCTCTCTCACCCAGTCTCCGCACTCAAAAGGAAAAAGGGCTTTGCAGTCACAACTCTCCATCTTATGATTCCTGGTTTGGCTGATGTATAAGACAAGACGAGGAAACAGAGTGTGGTCAAGAATCATGCAGGAATCATTACATTCTCTGAGTCTGCAGTTCCCAAACCCCAGGCCGCTGACTGGTACCAGTCCACGACATGTTAAGAACCAGGTCACAGCAGAAGGTGAGCAGTGGGTGAGCAAGCCAAGCTTCGTCTGTATTTACAGCCACTTCCTATCGCTCGCATCACCGCCAGAGCTCCGCCTCCTGTCAGATGAGCAGCAGCGGCATTAGATTGTCATAGGAACAGGAACCCTACTGTAAACTGCGCATGCAAGGGATCTAGGTTGCATGTTCCTTATGAGAATCTAATGTCCCCCTGGTCCGCCGAAAAATTGTCTTCCACAAAACCGGTCCCTGGTGCCAAGAAGGTTGGGGATCACTGCTCTAAGTGATGCCACAGTTCAATATAAGACTGACAAGAATGGTACATGTGCAGTGGGCCTCATTTTCTCTGCTTGAAGAACAACTCGTGGAATCCAGTAACTTAGCTTTTTTAAACGTACACATTTTTATCGTAATGTAGGAACCAATGATTATAGAAAAAAACATGTGGAGAGCATGAGATTCTGGTACAGTGGAAAATTGATTGCCACATACACAGCCACAAAATTAAGCGTATGCACTACAGCAAGTCAGTTGATATCCAGGTTATCAGTTGACTTATCCTTAGGATGTCTGATTGCCTATTGTGGTAGTCAGCTTCTCAGATAGCCCCCAGTGATCTTTTATCTTTTGGTGTTAACATCCTTATGTGAACCCCTCCCACATTGTATTAGGTTGGTCTGTGTGTCCTATAGCCTACTTTTGAAATTATGAGATTAGGTTATAAAAGACTGTGCTTTCTGTCTTGGATTCTCTCTCTCTCTCTCTCTCTGTTTCTCTCTCACACACACACAAACACACACACACACACACACACACACGTGCACACACTCATACACATCTTGGGGTCAGCCAGTTAATGATGACATTGAATCAACCAATGGGAAAGCCCATAAGGCCAGAAACTGAAGTCTCTGGCAAACAGGCAATAAAAAAGTGAAGCCTGCCAATAACAGTGTTAGTGAACTTGGAAGCAGATCCTTTAGCCCAGTCAAGCCTTGAGAAGGCTGCAACCCTAGTTGACATCTCGACTGCTATCTCCAGAGACACCTTGATCCAGAACCAACCAAGTAAGCTGCTTCCAGATTCCTGCCCCTCAGAAGTTGTGAGAATGTTTTAATATGATAAGGTTAGGAACAATTTCTTACACAACACCTACCTCAGAAAATTGTTATGAGGGTAAAATTAAAGAACATGCTCAGAAAAATGATTTTTAAAAAGTACTATCCAAAGGTGAACATATCGTCACGTGTAATTCCATCTCTCCCTAACTCTGATAGTAGGCAGAATGTTTTGAGTATCTAAAGAGAGATTTCAGCATAATCAATTCAGCTATGAAAATGGTCTCTTCAAATTTCTATAAAATAAAAGATCTCTGAAATATCACAAGCTGTGTTCATTATTATGGACGACCTCCAATTCACTTTGTCCTGCCTCACAATTAAAATTGAACTATAGTGATTTATTTGCTTTCATAAGAACTTTTAAAAAAAATTTACTTTTCCTCACTAAAAAGAATTCCTCCTTGATACTAAGAAGATAATGATTCTGCTAGGATGAAAAATGTCAATGTTACATTCATAATTTCAGCATTCAGTTTAAAATAGATCCAATGTGTGACCATCACATATGCATAGCCAGAAATATCCCTAAGAAACATCTATCTTTTTAAGTAGCTAACATTTCTTCCAAACGTTTCTTCCAAACTGAAACTGGTAATTTCTTTAACAGTCACTCTATAAGAAAAAAAATTATGCCATTATCTAAAGTAACTTTGAAATGAAAAATTATAACAGCAGTTAATGCTTTATAGCTTTAAATTCCAGTATTAATACATTTCAGAAATGATTTAAACTTCAGGATTTATATAATATAACTCTAAAAGTAGTTAAAAGAAAACCATATTTGGCAATAGCTGGTCTACAACAGTATATGCCTCATTTATGACTCATTTTCCACATGAAAAAAAGTTTTCACAAATACATTTGGAAGAATCAAAATGTAATAAGTAAACCAAAGAAATGAAAGTCCTTTATAAAACTGTAAAACAAAACAAAACCTGTAAAACACCATATAAATAACAGATATTATAATATTTGCAATGATGTTATAAAAGTAAACATCAAATAGTGTTTAGGAAAACATGTGGAGAATAAGAAAAATAAAAGCTACATTAAAGAATGAGGGGGAAATTTAGACTCAGTCACAGTAAGCGCAATGTCCTTCTTAACCACTTGGGGAAAAAAATTTCCATTAGAAGGACAGATTTAAGTGGTTTAACATTGGAAGACCGTAATATTCTGAAGGATAGAAATCTTTGAAAAGATCTGTGAACAATAAAGGAATTGAAAATAAAATAAAGGGTACAGAGAGAACAAAAAGGAAAAAAACTGAGGTAAAGGATGCTTCTTAAAAATATGATTTGAATTTAAACCCAGAACATCTGCTTTTTATAAAACTCTGAGTGTGTTAGCTCGTAATAAAGGAACATGTTGACTTGCATCTTCAATTGCAAGAAAGAAATAAAAAGATTATTAGAAAAAAAAAACGCATCATGTAGAGGACAATAAAGTTTTCTCTAACTCAAAGGAGAGCTTCTTATAGACCAGTAGCAGCTGTATGAACATCTTTCAAAGGACACTCTTGTGAAAGAATTTAAATCAGACTTAGTCCAATCATTTTTGGTAACAAAAAATTATATCTGTAAAATGATGTTTGTTTTTATTTCTCAGTCCTATCAGCATTTAAAAACTTTGCATGACAAAAAGAAAGACCTCTTAGGTTAAAAAAGTTAAATTTTAAATTAGATAGCCTCTCTAAATGGGTGGTTAGAAATACTTAATCCTTCTTAGTCAACTGAAAAGGAAAATCTATATTTCAAAGTTTTGTGAACTTCCAGTTTTCTTCTTCACTCAAGGCAATGAATTCTTCTTGTAGTAATAATTGCTCATAAAGTATTTTCTTTCTATAAAGGTAACTTTTAAACTGTATTTTATGGGATTTGTATAATTGATTTTTATTAATTTCTGGGAATAAAATACATTACTATAGGCCGGGCGCTGTGGCTCACGCCTGTAATCCTAGCTCTTGGGAGGCCGAGGCGGGCGGATTGCTCAAGGTCAGGAGTTCAAAACCAGCCTGAGCAAGAGCGAGACCCCGTCTCTACTATAAATAGAAAGAAATTAATTGGCCAACTGATATATATATAAAAAAATTAGCCGGGCATGGTGGCGCATGCCTGTAGTCCCAGCTACCCGGGAGGCTGAGGCAGAAGGATCGCTCGAGCCCAGGAGTTTGAGGTTGCTGTGAGCTAGGCTGACGCCACGGCACTCACTCTAGCCTGGGCAACAAAGCGAGACTCTGTCTCAAAAAAAAAAAAAAAAAAAAATACATTACTATAAACTTCTTTAGGTTCTGGGAAAAAACCTAATATAATGTTTACTTTCTGAAAATATGGTTTTTCCCTTTTTTGATGTAACAAAATTCTATTACCCTCATTATAATGGGGTTTCTACATCTGGTTATATTTATTTTTGACTTTGCATTTAGTAAAATTATTATTCTATGACTTGGTTTTACAAATCACGGTTTAAAATAGAACAGAATCCCTTTCCATATCTCATATGATCTAGGAAAATAATAAGTTTTCCCAGGATTTGAATATCTTGTGACCACATTATGTCTCATGTGCATCAGGACACCCTGGAAAAAAAGAATCTGGCTAGAAGGAAAATGAAGGAGAAGAGAGATGAGATAGAGCACTCCAACCTGTCAATTGCAGGTGCATAAAAGTTTTGCAGTTCTTTGTTGGCATCATTCCAGCCAGGCCAACTTTCCAGCTATCCCAAGTACTGTGATGGCTTCAATGGTCTACTTTACTGTCCAAATGATTGGCCACTTGCCAGACCACAACTTTGTTTTAGAAAGAGCTCCTCAAGTGAAGTGGAGAGTTAAGACAATTATTGAGATAATTCAGTCCAAAAGAAATGCATTGAGCAAAACCTGCCTTTTTTTACTTTATCAAGATTGGTATTGTCTACATGGATGAAGCTCATTGCACAATAGTATGTTGCCTCCACAGACACTTTCTTTGTGTATAGACCTGACTTCATTCTGCTATCTAATACTGAGCAGTTCTTAGTTCAATTGCCTCCTAACAAAGATTTCAGAGGCATATCTGTGTTAACACACAACACAGATGGCTTTTCTGCCATCTATCATAACTCATTGCAAACTATTTGATGAAGTGGTTTTTCAAAAGCCAGAGTAACTTGGTTGACCATGACAAAAACCAATTATTTTGTTGATGTTACATAAAGATTATCTGTGATATTTTGCAAGAGGATTTAACATTCTATCTAAACAATATTTGGTTATTTTGATTATATATATTATATATATATATAGGTTATATATATATATATTTTCTGAATTTGTGTGTGTTTTTGGAGTAGTAAAATTGGTTTCTCCTCCGAGCTCTATTTGTATCAAATGAAGGAAGTCAATGATTTTTTAAATCTGAAAATGGGCTGGAGATAGCACTGATTTTATAAATATGGAAATGAACTGGATATAAAATGAGATAATAAAACATAAAGATTCCATGTAAGTATTCCAGAGGATGTATTAGCCAATCATGGTGTCCATATAAGTTATTAGTTCTCTAAAAATATTTATAATATAATTTAAATATTTTTTCAACTTTAGTTCATATTATAGATCTTACCCTTTGCTTAAGTGTGATGCAAATCCCACAATAGTCTATGAGAGTTTTATTATTGCCCAGTCCTCCATCAGACATTCATAATCATTATAGATATCCATAAATACCCTGATGCTTCTCTTTCTAGGCATATGGTAAGTTGGGAATGAACAAGGTATTTGTCTGGCCCAAGAAATATGTGGAGAAATAGTCACTCATTTTCATGAGAAAAAAAATTGAAATGTTCCTGTGTGACTCTCAGCATCTCCTTCCCACTGCCTTGATGATCTTAGAAGCTGGCATTTTC